CCTGAGGGCACATTTCTCCAGGAGAGGACAGCTAACACCTCCAGAGAGTCAGGGAGAAGCACAGCAAACCTCCTGCCTGCTCTTGCTTTTGGGTCTCTGTTCAGGAGGTGATGCCTCCCTGCACTTTTGCAGTGTTCGTTCCCCTCTAATGGCCAAAGATCTGAGAGCCCCTTGGTGGAGATCTTGGTGTCACAGGCTGTGGTGGCTGGTGGCAAAGAGTGCCCTGTGCTGGCGGACCTGTGAGGCATCGAGCCTCAGGTCCAGGCACGCTCACCATTACCCAGCACTGGGATGGGGCCTCCTGCAGCTCTGATTGCTGGTGTTTATCCCTGTATTCCCTTACATCTCCAAAGGAATGCACCTGTGCCATGGTGGCTGAGAGAAAGGATTATAGCTAAACTTAACAAACCAAGGCAGTGAAGGCAAATCGGTAAATCTGCACAGGTCTTAGTACTCCCTGAGTCAGAATCTCCTGCCTACCTCCTGACAGAAGCTCTTTGCCTCTTACACTTGCACTGCAACTCTTCCTTCTTCTTGGAACAAGTGATGCTAACTGCCTGGGTTTTACTCAAGCCAGCTATTAATAATCTTTTGCAGATTGGTTGTTACGAAGTCTCAATCTATGCAAAAATATGTGTGTTTGTGTGCTTGAGGCTTTGGTTTTCAAATAGCAATGCTATTTTTTGTGCTGCATTACTTGCTGTTGCCCTTTCTAAACAAAAGCTTTTCAGAGCTGCCTACATATGAAGTGTAAAAAAATGTAAATAATCTCATTTTGCATCAGCTTTTGTACTAGGGGTTATCATAGAATGGTTTGGTTTGGAAGGGACCCAAACATCATCCAGTCCTAAACCCCCTGAAATAAGTAGGTACATCTTTAAGTAAATCAGCTTACTGAGAGCCCCATTCAGGCTTGAATGTTTTGAGAGACAGGACATCTACCATCTCTCTGGACAATTTGTTCCACTGTTTCACCACTTGTGTGGGCTTAAGTTTTGTGTTAGCTGAGTGTAAGCCGAACAGCTCAGGGTAACTCCCCCAGCACTTTATGTCAAGCTCTTTGCTGCAATATGTGTTAAAACTAGGCTGCTTTTCAAACTTAGGGAATTAATCAGGAGAGAATGTTGTTTCCGTATCTTTACCATTTTTTCTTCCTATTAAACCTAATTAAAACAAACTGTGATACATGTAAAATCATGCCTTACCTGCCATGCCACTTCTGTTGGTGTCAAAGGAGTTAAAAGATACTTTGATTAAGAACACAAAGATTGTTCTCTGTTTTCATAGTGTGGTCAGTCTGGTGAAAAAGCTGCCCTGGGAGGGCCCATATACGAAGTCATATTCTCTGCAGTCAAGAGGGTCGTATGGAATCAGGTCATTATCCTAAGCTTTGATGAAAGCTTGCACGGCTTGTGCAAGCAGATTTCCTCCATGGCTTTCACTGCTCTGATGTGTAAATCACAAGTAAGAATCACAGACAGTACAACAAACTGATTTGGAGGTGGTTATGTGCAATAGCCTTGTCTCCTGGGCAAAAAACCCGCTCTCTGTCCTCTGCACTGGTGAGGCAGTGTAACTCAGACCAGCAATGCCCAGGGTGAGGCTGACTCTGTGTGCACTCTTGTCCTGCACAATGTCAGGGGCCTCATATTTAAGGGCAATCCCAACTGGCATATTATACCTGGAACTAATTTTTTTTTTTCATCAACAACTCTGCCTACTTGTTTCCCTGTCCCCACCTGTGTGGATCAGGCAGGTAGTTGGTGACAGTACAGTGACAGTCAGCTAGCCAACAGACACTGAAAGACTTTGGTAGCCACATTGCCTCTGGCCCATGCAGTTATAATGTTTTGCTCCATTCTAGTTATTGTAGCTGCTCTCTTGACTCCTGCCACTGTGTTTAAGTCCTACAGAATTCTCTGTGCCATCTTTTTTGTGTCACTTGCTATGGAAGTGGTTGATCTGTGAGGCTAGGGAGCTGTAAATTCTTGCTGTCCTTTATCTTTCCTAAAGTTTTGGGTTCGTTGATTTGTAGTATTCTTAGAAAAGAGATTATGCACTCTTTCTTTCTAGAAATCCCTTTCTGCACTTTGTACCAGGATTTGGCATTTGTTACTCATTCTGAATGGTGCCTGCAGTCTTTCAGAAATGAAATACCTTCATTCTCTCAAGTGTTGACAGGAGGCAAATGTGCTATCTACCACTAAAGGAGTCTATTTGTTGTTTACTGTTCTGTTACAGGAAGTTCATTTTCACACTTGGAATACAAAATTAGGTATTTTTGCAAAAAACCATTTTCTTATACTCTTGACCACAGAGCAAATAAGATGTAGGTGATGCTCAGTCACCACATCAGGAAGTAGTTCTCTCTCTACATGTATTTTGGTGAAAAAGTGAATCTTTACCAGAAAACAAAAACTCTTTTTGAAAATAGCAATTTAATCTAAGTGAGAATTTAATCTATTTGGGTCTACCTCAAAGAATTAACTGGAATGCTGTAGAAGCAATCTAATGGGACCCAGCTCGCCATAAGATCCACAATGTTATTTCATGGTCCTCACAAAATGGTTTCTTTCTCTTTGAGGTCCTACCTAGCCATTTTGGGCTCAGAATAAAGGCATGGAGGCTTCTGTTCCATAGGGTCTCTGTCTCCTTCCCACTCAGTTATGAAGTGCTCCCCTCCCACTGAATCAGGACTGCAGCCCTGATGTTCCTGCTGTGTGTGAAGTGTTGCTGGGGCTCCACTTCCTCACCTGCAGCGGCTGAGCTCTGTGCAATTCACTATAATGTGTGAAAATAAGCTCATCTGTTTATTTACACGTTGCTCTGATGTCTATATTGCATGTCAGAGCTAAAGCCTTCTGAGTCCAGCAGAGTTTCTGAGCAGTGCCAGTGACCAGGCACTGGGCTTGGCAGCTCTCTGTGTGCTAATCCACCCAGATCCAGGAGGGCAGACAGATGTATTGACAGCAGGGAGAAAAGAGGATAACAAGGATGTCACAACTCCATCTAGATTGTGCAGGTGAGCTTTCAGTCTGTGACAAAGCCTGCCTTATTAAGCAAGAAATGTGTGCCAGAGGATGGTAAGAGCCTCATCCCTGCTATCTGCTTCTGTTCTTTACATGTGTTGTTCTTGTTCCCATCTGCCAAGGAGACACTTGGGGAGGGCTGCCAGCTGCTTGCTCAGATGGTACCAAAGAGCTGCAGTGTCATGAGCTCCTCCTGTAACTGTACATGCCACCACCTAAGGGATGGATGGACAGACCTGCCCTAGGAGAGGCATTGTTCTTGTTCATGTGGCATGAAACAGTTTCAAAATGAAAACTTTACTGAACCTTAAACTGGATTAGGAATAAGAAGTTATGTCAATATCAGGATGTTTTCTACTCAGCTAATCCAACTTATCCTTGCATCTCTCAACAGGTATTTAAAGGCTTTTTCTCTTCTCATATGGTGTCTTGTGTAAAGGAGGCCTTGTTTAACGGTTGCTAAATCATAGGTCAAAAAAGCAGGTGTTTTGTACTCGTAGTGCCTCAAACAGCTAACAACTGCACTCCATCTAAGAGACAATATGCAGGCAAAGAAGTCAGCAACACTGAAACCATTGTCAAGAGCATGGAGAGTGATAAATTTATAAGGTTCCCAATGTGGCTTTGCTGTTGAATAATGAGATTGAACATTGACTTGTATGAATTAGAAGTGCAAAAAGTTTGTGTTAGTGTGCTGCCTCTTCTCTGCTCTTACCCTTGGCTTTATTGGTGGTTGCACCTGTTCTTGTGGTGTGCAGAAGCCCTTGCAACAAATGAAAGTTTCCTCCAGCATGTACCCAAATATTCTGCCGGGTGATGCTACTGCCCAAAGTAGGTGATGAAAGAGGAAAGACCCAGGTGACCCAGGAATGGAGACTGCACAATCCCTGACCTGCAGTCCTCTGGAAGGGGAAGGACATCCTTGGTGCTGGAAACACTAAGGTGAGAGGTGCGCAAGGCACAGTTGGAGCTCATGCTATGTACAGAGTGTTTTAGGGAAAATACTCTGTGGGGTATGGTACTCTGTGGGGTATGGTAAAACCACTGCTGCTGACACATGCAAGCTGAACTTTCCACAGATACATGCAAGTGCTCTGCAAAATGGAGAGTGTAAGTCGAGGTGGTGCAAAAATCGCCAAGGGATTTTAATTCCTACATGTCAAATTCTTTCCTGATTTTCTCACACTACTCCATTATCAAATACAGAGAAAATTGTGGATGCCCAATCCCTAGAAGAGTTCAAGGCCTGGCCAGATAATGCTTTGGGCAGCTTGGTGTGGTGAAAGATGTCCCTCCCTATGACAAAGGGGCTGGAATTAGATATCTTTGAGCATATCTGAGATATCAAAGCATTCTACAATCCTATGAAATGTCTCACTGAGGCAAATGTTCCCCTGTTTGAAGAGGCAACAGTTAGGCAGATGATTTGTGCACAGGCATAGTGATGCCTGCATGAAGCAAACCCCTTTCAAGTCTGTGAGCTTTGCAGGGTGCCGATGTTGCGCCTGTGTGAAGACATGACACCTGGGAGAGACACCAAGATGAGTGACCCGAGGGTGCAATGAGATGCTGCATTCAGGGGATTTTGACTGTGCTGGAGCCATTTTCAGCTGCAGGAACTTCAGTAGGAGGTTATCCAGAACTCATCTAGTGTCCAGCAGCAGCCAGATACTTCAGTCTATGGTGAAGAAGGCACAACGGCTAACTGCAGTCAGGGTAATGGAATTTCTGCCTGCTGCTGGTGACAATGTTGGAATCACCTTGCCCATCTGCTGAGAGATGAGCTGGGCTGGATGGGGAACCGCAAGACCTCCCGCTCAGCCTGACTGGGTGACCAGAGCCTCCTCTTTCTTACCCAGCACAAGGAGTGGGAGGCTCCCGGTCCCGCCTCCCGCCGCGGTGTGATGTTGGGGCGGAGCGCATTCCCGGGACTATATCCGCCGTGAGGCGTGCGGGAGTGTCTCGTTTCGGGTCGCTCCCGGGGATGCTGAATATGGAAGCGAACATTGACCCGTCGGAGCTGCAGCCGCTGGGGGAGTATGACTTCGAGAAGAACTTTAATCACCGGGCAGCCCTGAAATGGATGGAGGAGAATTGGTGAGAGGAGAGGAGGTTGCTGACCTGGTGCATTCCAGACCCTGGGTAGCCCAATCGTCTCCTGCTGCTTTTAGCAGAACAAGTGTGAGGATCTTAATTTCTGAGGAGGAGAAGATTGGGGGTCTCTGGTTGCTTACCTGAGGCTGTGGAGGATGGGGTGCAGCAGTTGATGTGGCAGAGCAAACAGTGGTGCAGGTGGGGCTGCAGCTTGTAGGGAGATGGTGCTGTGCAAGAGGGCAAAAAGCACCCACGGATGGCCAGTGCAGCCCTTGCACTGGCAAACAGGGTACTCAGCCCTGCCATGCTGCCCTAAAGCCTTGGAATGTGTGGGATATAACACAAGGCACTTGAGGCTCCAGCTTACATGAAACTGCCTGTACAGTCTCACGTGTAAAGGGATAAGATGCATTGATGTGTTTGCTTTGCATCCTGCTCACCGGAACCTGCCTCATCCCACCGAGGTCTTGTGGAAATCTCCACGGTGTAGCAGTTCACTTTATTTTGTGCAGTCCCTAAGGTTCTTGCTTGTTCACTGTCAGGGCAGGTTTCTTGTGGCCAAACCCAACTTTAACACGAGAATGGGAGATCTTCTTGCGAGTGTGCGAGTACTTTGCCAGGGCTACAGAAGTCTGGCTAAAAATAGGTCAGTTTGGGTCTTTTCCTGACTGTTCCCTCTTCTCTACTTGCAGGCAAAAGTCTTTAACTATTTCTGTTATTTATTTGATCCTGATCTTTGGAATCCAACATTTCATGAAGGAGCGGAGGCCCTTCAAACTGCGTGGACCACTGATCCTGTGGTCCTTCAGTCTCTCTTTGTTCAGGTAAGAGCCTTTGTTAAATCTCGAGACAGCTGTAGACCCTTCCTCAGAACTGGATTGATGGAAAGTTCTGGTTATCCGCTACATCACTAGGCTACATAAAATATTTCCTCTTGAAGGCACTTTGTAACTAGGGGAGTGACCTGCTTATACAAGTCATTTATTTCTCACCAGAAATACTCCAGCAAGAATGAGTTGCAAAAGGATCTCTGGGAAGAGTACTTGAAAATCATTAGTGGGTAGATTTGAATGTGAAGCCTGCAAGAGCAGACATCTTCCCTCATTCAAAGGGTGCCTGCCAATTGCAAGTGTGATTTGAGGTCTATTTCTCTTTAAAATTTAGATTTCTTTCTCTTCCCCTACACACTGCCCCCCCTCCCCTCCCGCTACCTCATTTCTTTAATACTGTTGTGTAAGAGGTGGAGAAAATTCTGCTGCACTCACAGAAGCACAAAAGATTAAATTGTGTTTTCAAACTGTCCTGTCTTATTGAATAGGTTTCCTGAAGTAGCCATGAAAATGTTTCGGCCTGTGCCCTGTATTCAAACTAGCATATGTCAATCTTAGAAAATTCCTCTCATCTGCACAACTTTTTCTCTCTGTTTGGTGGGACAGAGAAAAACTTGACTAATGCCTCTGTAACTCCAATTGGCTTTGACAAGGTCAAAGGGACATTGGTTGTCCTCTGTCAGGGCATAGTATAACAGTGGTCTGTAAAAGCACAAGTTGTGGAAGAGGGGAGGTCAGGGGATAGCTGTTCATGCTCTGTTCAGAGACAAACTTGTGCTAATGAAACAGGTTGATAACAAGGAAAAAGTGGTATTTCTCATAAGCTGTAGGAGTTGCCTGCCACAGTAGGTTATAAATGCTCCCTGTCCTCTGGGCCCATGTCAAAAGGCAGGACATCAGGAAAATTGTCCTCCATTTCTTATCAGTGGGGCAACTTTTGCTCAAGTGCCTCTTCAAGCGGTGGAAGCAGGGGGTGTTTCCCTGAGGGGAGCACTCTATCATGCTGCCTTTTCTTGCAGGAATAGGTTTTAAATCCTGGCTAAAACTTGTTAGGAAGTCTAAGAAGGCAAAGGTTTGTTTAAATGTCTCTGAGATTGCCCTGAGCATCAAGATGGAGTCAACTAAATATCCATGGGTGCAGAGCTGTCAGAGGCTATGTTGAGGCCCTGGGCACAGTGTTCAGCTCACCTCTGGTTTTCTTGCAGTCTCGTTGCAGCCTTTCGGATCTGGAAGCAGTTGGCCTTCCTCCTCCTTACCAAGGGATTTAAGCAATCAGTGTGTAGTCAATCTTTTTATGTCCACCCGGTTTCCAAGCTTTGGATATATCTATTTGGTCTGAGCAAACTTGTTGAAATGGGTGAGTTTGAAACTTCTCCTTACCCTGTGTGTTTATAATTGCTTTGCTTTTACAAGCAGATTTTCTTTTACAGGTCTCTGTCCAAATGTTATGTGGAGAAAAGGGTTGCTTGTTGCTTAGCCTTGCATGTGTCACTCATGTTCTTGCTCCCTATTGCTGGACTCTGATTATATGCTTGCTCTGCAGGGGGCTGCAGCCTGATGTTACAGTTCGAGTCTGATCCCCAGGCCAGTGCCCGGACTAGGCAATTCTGCACTGGAACAACCATGGCGAGGGGGCAGCAGACAGGCGGGGGGGCTAGGCTTTCCACACAGCTTTCATAAAAAGAAGTAAAGAAGAGCCAGTTGGAAATGAAGTGCAGGTAGATCTGGGAAAGCAAGCTTGGGGCAAGGGGTTCTTATATTCCAAACATGCCAGAAGATAGAATGCCTAAATGGTCCTCTTCAATACAGATTATATCAATGGGAACCTAGGCTTTGGTGGGATCAAACCACATAATGGCTTCAGCATTGAAGCTTGCTTGGTCCGTTTCATGTGAAAACTTGTGCAACTGCTGTGCTTTCACCTGACTAATGATATACCTGTTCCCCAACCCCAGGTGACACTCTGTTCATTGTTCTCCGGAAAAAGAAGCTCATCTTCCTGCACTGGTACCACCACTTTGCCACAATGATTTTAACCTGGTATGGCTATACGTTTATGGCAGCTGGGGCTGGATGGAACACAGCCATAAACCTCAGTATCCATGCTGTGATGTATTTGTACTACAGTGTGGCAGCCATGGGCATCCGGGTACCTAGCTCCATCACCATGCTAATTACCTCTTCACAGATTGTGCAGATTATTGGATATGTAATAATGAACATCTTTATCTTCTTCTGGAAGGATGATAAGCTCTGTCCATTTACCTGGCCAATGCTTCTCCTTTCATCAGGCTTGTATACCAGTTTATTGGTCCTCTTCTCCAACTTCTTCGTGAAAACTTACCTGAGTAGCACCCAGAAATCAAAGCAGAATTGAAACCAAGGGATGGAAGAAGTGATCGGGATGGAAGTGGGGAGAGAGGGAGAGAAAAAGGGGAAACTTTTTCTGGAGTCTAAGTGCCTGATGGGATGGGTGTGATGGGGTTTAGGAAGAGATCACTGTGGGTAACAGCCTTCAGAGTAACTTGCACATTGGCCTTTGGTGTATCTTCCTTGCAGTGGGTGGCATGCCAGAGTGAGGTGCAGGTCGTGGCAGGCTGGTAACAGGAGAAAGGGGAAGAGGCTGGGGTCTGGAAATCTCAGGGTTGAGGTTCTGCTTTTCCTTCTTTGCATCACTTGGGTTTGCCTTGTGCCTCACTTCCTTTCTGGGGGACTGACAGAATCCTGCATGCACCAAGACACTCCTTGGAAAAAAGGTAGGGAAACTCCTCTCTTAGCAGCACTGCCCTCTCTGTGGTCTCCAGTTTGGGGGAGGAACAGAGCCCATACCTGCTGCTACTCTGCCGGGAAGCTCTAATAGATTGCCGGTGAAATGGAAAACTCCTGCTGTTTTTTAAGGTTATGTAGGGAAAGGATCTACCTGGGCTCTCTCTTCTCCTCTGTGATGCAAGGAACTGAATCCCATGAACTTTAATGGCTGTTACCTGTGGTGTGCCTCTTGTACAATATTAACCCATCAATTTGACTTGACTAGCTACTGCCTCAAACCCTAAATGATAAGGTCCAGCTCTGTCCTGCAGTAGTCAAGCATTGCCAATGGTCCCAGCCCATGGCCAGTTTCATGGGCTGGGAACAGAAGGGTCAATTCATCTCTGGGTGCATATGCCACAACTAATAAATACTGTCATGTATGGATTGATTGATTGATTGATTGATTGATTTGTTTGATGCCTTTTTCATACCTGACCTTCGTACAGAACTGTGAGAGGAATGCTGCCTTCTCTATCTTGATACTGCGTCTTCCTGAGGGTTAGTGATGTGTCCAGCAGGCTGTCCCTCTGTGCTTACCCCTTCTGGAGTCATCAGCTGGTCATGCTTCCTGAGCGCCTTTGCTCACCACCAGGGAGCTAGAAATGAGAGAGAGATGATTAAAAAATCAGGCTGTTGTTTTACTATCTGAAATGAGCATGTCACTGTGCTTCATAAAGCCAAGATGTGCCTCAGAGCCTGAGTCCAAGGGTCCGAGCCGCTGGGTGGGTGTTGGCTCCTACTGGTGAGTGAGTTTTGGCCTCTCAAGGCAGTGGACTGGAAAGTTGCTACATGGCAGTGGGCTGCACTTTCAGTGCTGGGAGGTGGCAACAGCCCTGTCCAGCCTTCCCTGACAAGGACTCCTGCTCTGGACTTGGCAGTATGTTGGGTAGTGGTGTAACAGCACCTTCCCCCGCTGTGGGAAAGGCAGGAGCAGTCAGCTGAAGGGTTGGGGAATAGGAATAAACTGGCTTCTGCAGTTTAGGGAGGGGATGGTGAACATATGGGAGTAATGGGGTGGTCTCTCTCCTGCAGAGTGCTGTTTGGGGCACTTTAGGTAACTGCTGTGGTCCTGGTGAGGCAACTGCCAGCTCTCCTAACTTCTACAGCTGCCCAAGGCATGCTCCCTCAGCTCTGTCCAGCATCTGTGCCAACGCAAAGAATGACAGAATCATCAAGGTTGGAAGAGATCTTTAAGAACTTCAAGTCCAACCATCCACCCAGCAGTACCACTGTAACCCCTAAACCACTATATCATATCACCAGATCCTGATAAACACCAGCCTTTTAAACACCTCTGGGTTGGTGACTCCACCACATTCCTGGGCGACTTATTCCAATGCCTGACCACCTTAACAGTGAAAACCTTTCTAATATCTAATCTGACTCTCCCCTGTCCCAGCTCTAGGCCATTTTCTCTTGTCCTCTCTGTAGGCAGAGCAGAAGAGACCAGCCCCCGGTCTTCACTGTAACCTCCCTTCAGGCAGTTGAAGAGAGTGATGAGGTCGCCCTGGAACCGAAGCCGGGCTGGGGAGTGGGCGGGAGCGAGCGCGCGGTCTTACCCCGGAGGCTGTGTTGGTGTCACGGCGCTGAGGCGGTTCCGCGGGGCCTCTCTCGGTGTCACGGCGCTGAGGCGGTTCCCTGAAGGCTGTGTCGGTGTCACGGCGTTGAGGCGGTTCCCCGGGGCCTCTCTCGGTGTCACGGCGCTGAGGCGGTTCCCCGGGGCCTCTCTTGGTCCCGAGGGCGGGAGCGCAGCCCGCCCTACAACCCGCCGCTAGGCGGCGCCGCCGTCCGCGCTGAGGGCGCTGCCGGCCTGGTCGGGCCGGGTCCGCACCGCGACGGCAGCGGGCCCTGAACGGGGTTGGGACCGAGATTAGAGCTGCCCCTCACGGCTGTGGAGCGATCTGAGCCCAGGCCTCACACGCACAGCAGCGGGCCCTGAACGGGATGGGGCCGAGATTAGAGCCGCCCCTCACGGCTGTGGAGCGATCAGAGCCCAGCCTCACGTTCAGCAGCGGCCCGAGGTGCGCGCCGGCCCCGCGCTCCGGGGCTCTGTTGGCAGCGCGCACCAAGGGGGAGGAGCGGGAACATCCTCCGCTGTGCCAGCGGGACACGAACCGCGGACGGTGCCGCGCTGCTCCTGGGCTGAGAGGAAGAACCGGCGGCAGCTGCTGAGGACACCCGGCGTCGGTGCGCGCTGTGTGAGCCCTCAGACACAGCAGCAGCGGAGCGGGGAGCACGGGCCGTGCTGGTGCTGGGCGCTAAAGTCTGGCCTGGAGTAAGAGAAGTGCAAGGAAGACAGTATTTAGGCAAACGGGATTTTTTCACACCCTCTCGGTGTGGTGAATCTCGCACAAAGCTATCCCAGAATCAGTCATTGTTGTCTGTGAGAATTCCCACGGAATTTCCCCCTCTTCAAAATGGGGACTGGGGCCAAAAGCCAGGAACTGCTCGCCGTTAAATCCCCCCTCAAAAAACATTAAAAAACCAAACAAAAAACCGCACCAAACAAACAGAAAACCGAGCCACAAAACCACAAAAACCCCAAAAACCCCACAAAAAACCAAACCAAACAAACGAACGCCCACAACAACAACAAAACTACAAAACCAAAGCGAATGAAAATAACCCCAACAAACAAACAAACCAAAACAAAAACAAAAACAAAAACCTAAACAAATGAGCAAAAAGCTGGATCAAATAATCTCACTATGTGTAAACAGTGGATATGTGGACAGGAGTTTTGTGGGCACATCAAGAACAGAATCTGATAAAAATAATTCAGTTTTCCTCCCTGACAGGGTAAGGGCATAGTGACGGAGAGCTTTAGCTGCCAGTCAAGTGGCTTTTAAGGATGATCTAGATGGGATTTGGGTAGGTACCAAACCCACTGGGTAATTATACCCAGAGAGTTATCCACAGTTCACTGTTGAAAAGGAAGGGGTCTGTTGAGTGAAATTCAGGGACATCTGTTGCGGGTCATTTTTTGCTCAGCACTTCCTTTAATGATCTGGGTGATGGAGGAGAATGTGCACTTGCTAAATTTGCAGATTGAGAAGTATCCAACGGCAGAGTTATTTGCCTAACAGGTCTCCAGAATAAGTGGGATCCTGCTAAAGATCGTGTGCTTGGGGTTGCAGTATCAACAGGATACATCTGGGGAGGTATTGGGGAGAGAGAAGTGCTGGGTAAGGTCTGTAGAGCACCTGCTGTGTTTGTGCTGGACCAGAGAGCATGATGTCTGAGTTCTGGCCCCATGGGGAAGAAGCTGAATGTGAGAGGCTGAACTGGCTTAGCTGAACCAGGAAGGCAGGTGGCATTTGTCAGACAGGAGACATCTCCCAGAGTGCTCTGCTGCCAACTTGCTCACTTAGTTATTTGCTGTTTTCTGTAGTTTTTAAGGTTTTCCCCATGGTTGTGTCAGTTGTTAGGTACCATTGAACAAAGTGCCCTCAGCTCAGAGCTGGTGTGTGGTTTGCCATCTGGTCTGGATCCTACATGGTGCAATACCTCTGACTGCAGAAACAGACCCCACCGTCTTCTCCATACAGCAAATTGTCATGGGAAGGAAAAACCTGAGCCAACTAGCCAGGCTGCAGAGCCACTGGCCACATGTACTGTGTTTATTTTTTATATGTTTTCACTTGATCTTTGAACCCTTTCCACTTGTAGCTGTTTCAGTGCAGGATATCTTGGCCCCCAGATTTTGGATTAGCTCAGAGGAAAGAATACTCTGTTACAGTGAGGGTGAGCTGACACTTGTGACTGCTTTCAGCATCTGCTCACAAATACCTTCAGAAGCAACTGAACTGTGGAAGAGGCTTTGGCAAAAGCTGAGCCATTTATGAGACTTGGTTTGTGAGAGACCTCTTACAGTGTCCTAGTGAGGATCCATTCTTAGCAGAGAACTTGCTTTCTCTCTGCATGCTGATGACACTGCAGAACATGGGTTATGTCAGATTTGCCTGTCCTATTCTTCCTGGTAGGACAGTTTGTTGTGAAGATATTTTTTTCTATCTAAAGAGGAAAATAAAGTATTGGAGTTGTGCTTTCCCTTGGAGCTTGCACTTGATGAAGGGAAAGGTGATTGCACTGGGTAGAGATGTCCTGCTCCCCTGCTGTATGTGGAGCTTCCTTGGGCCCATGGAGGGATCTGCTGCCTCTCTCTGCATTGGCTGAAGCAGCAGCTTTTCCAGGTGCCTGTAGAGCTCAGGAGGGCCACCTCTGTTTCACAGCCTTCCCAACAGAAGCTGAGCAGGGCAAGTTGCTGCACCTGGCAGCTGCCCTGGGGACCACTGCTTGGAGCCAGAGAGCCTGGGGGGGAATTCCCTTGCCCTGGGCTGTGGGGGCCCAAAGGCACTGGCCCCGTCCAGCACAGTGGGGAAGCCTGAGCCCGAAGAGGCTCAACCTTCCTGCTGCACTGGGTACATGCAGACAGAGAACACAGAGGGGGCTTCTTATCCTCTTCCTACTGTGTGTGTGGCCTTTTGTTGTTCTGAGAAGCCAGGTGTCTGATATTTAAGTGAGGAACATGAACTACTCTTCCAAACTTCAGCCTCTGTTCTAACTCGGACTGCCTTGTGCTGGTGTTTCTAAGGATGCTTACCTTTACCTGGGCTGCTGGCACTTGATTTCAGAATCTTCAGAATCAAGCAGGTTTGTGCTTTCAATAACCACACAAGCAGAAGCTTAAAGGGTTTGTGCCAACTTTTATTATCTTTTTTGGAAATGGGATTTGGGGAAGGGAAGGAGTTGTGCAAGGAGGAGCTGATTGTTGCAGATGGGAATGTTTGGGATGTATACTGGCAGCAGTGTGTCTGACCAAAATGACTGAAGCAGTAAAGCATGACAGCCAGGACACTGCCTCAGTGGATGTGCTTCCTTTACAGGGTTTTGGTTTTAAGGTCTACTTTGTAGATTATTTCACATCCAAAACAAGAAAGCATATTTTAATGTCTCTATATGTATTTGTATGTATATATATATATATATATATGTAAGATAGATATATATACACACACACACATATTTTATATTCTTACAACCCCCAGCTCCTGAAGGTTTCAAGTCTGAAGGGCCATGTGTATATATGCATTATAAAGAGATGATAATTCACTGAGACAAGGCTTCCTTACTGGCTGTATGAAAAATAAATGGGCAAGATATCTTTCATTGAAATCTTGCACGTGTGCAGAGAATATGGTTTAGCCAAGCACCAACTGGCAACCCCCCTCAAGCTGTCCTGTCTCTGGCTATTTCCTGCAGAGGTGGTGTGAGGCTGCCTATGCTGTCCCAGGAATTTGTGGGGCTCACCCCTGTGGGGCTTGGAGGGGCAGATTGAAACATACTTGGTTTTGCTTCCCATGGGTCAGGCACCCTGCATGTTGGGGCTCCTATTTCTCCATGGGGCTTCCAGTAGACTCTTTTGGTTTGTTTTACCATGGAGGAGAAGGTTTGGTGGGCAAGAAGGGAAGGGGTTTTGAAGGGGAAAGACAGTCAAAATTCACCATACAATAGACAAATCTTCATAAAGGTTCGTCTCCCTGCTCGTTCTTTTCGCTCTTTCTCTCCCTGTCTCCCTCTTATGCTGCCATTTTCACTCTCACTCTGTGCAGGACGTACGCTGTTGTAGGGCTAAAGGTCTCCTTTTGTCAGGCTAAGGTCAAGTCCCTGGTTGGCAGCGGGCAGCCCTTCATACGGGCCTGTCCACGGCATACTGGCAAGGGCTCAGGTTGGAGGCTGCCGTCTGCACCGCCGGGTAGGTGAAGTTGGCGTGCTGCTTGGCCTTCAGCCGCAGGCTGGCCAGGCTGGAGTTGCACGTGTCCCTGTACATGTAGGGGCTGGCTGTGGAGGCGTAAGGACAGGCACTGGAGGAGACAGCAGAGTTGAGGCTCGGGCTGTTCAGATTATTGATGTTTCCCAGGTTGTTGAGGCTTGGGGCCGGTACCCCGGTCACAGCAGTAGGGACCATGGATGAAGGCATGGTCATTGAGGTGATGGAGCTGGGTGGGGAGAACATGGGCTGGGAGGAGAGGGGACTGACGTTCATGGAGTTGAAGAATGGAAAGCTCTTGGCCGAGAGCGGACTGCTGGCAAGCCCCTTGGTGGCCCAGTTGTTGTAGGAATAGCTGGAATACATGTCATCGTAAGGCTGCATCAGTCCATTGAACTGGGCTCCGAAGCTGTTCTTGCACAATTCGGCCTGTTGGTTCCTCTCTCGTTTCCTCCACTTAGCTCTGCGGTTTTTGAACCAGACCTGCAAGAGAGAGAGAGGGAGGGCATGGGAATTGCTCTGGCTGGCCTTGAAAGGGGCCTTGCCCTGCTTTCTTTGCCCAGCAAGACAAGAGCTGTTGAAAAGCTGGCAATGCTCCCAAGGAGATGGGAGGCTGAGCATCAGGAAAGAGCTGCAGCAAGATGTCTGGGCTTCAGGGTTATCTCCCAGCAGGAATCACCAGGTGGTCCTCAGTCAACCAACAGAAACCCAAACAACTGCCATTTAACAGCACACAGGATGACCCACTTCAATCAACAAACAGATGCCCTTTATACAGAAAAAAGAGAGGAAAATACTTGCTGTATTTCCAAGAGACCACAGCTAGGAGGAGGGATTGGGGTTGTGTGACTTGGGAGCAAAGTATTTGAGGGATGTGGCTTGAAAACTGCTGAACAAAGGAAATAACTTATCTTCTTTTGACTTTGCCCCAGGATTGGCTTGGAGTGGGATGTTATAGGTCTGTCTTCTAAAAGGAATATCTG